GACACAAGTAACATGATTAATAACACATTTTGAATAACATTGTAGGACAATGATTACTGTTTGTTTTTAAGCTAGATAAATACTGATATGTTGCCTCTTTAACAGACAGAAATTCATCTATCTGACTGCATTTGTGTGGTAGCTGTTTTTCAGTTTGGAGGATTTTGCCCCAATGCAGTGCACCCGCTTCCTTAAGTGCAGTGGTGTGAACAGTCCATGTGTAGGATGGCTGGAGTCATGGAAGATGCCAGTGACTCTTGTCTTGTGTCTGTTGGTGTAAATACCCCCGAGGGATGTTAAGGTGCATCTGGTGGTCTTCTAAACAGATTTTACCACCCTTTGCAATGCCTTTTTCTCTGCCACAGAGCAGCTATTGTATCATACCGGGAAGGAGAAGGTCAGGAGGCTCTCCATTGAACATGTGTAGAAGGAACTCAGAAACGTTTCAGCACAAAAAAAAAAAAAACTGTCCAGATGACCTGACTGAAAAATGTTGGACCTCAGGACATCAACATCCAGACGTGCCCTTTTCAGCTTTCTCAGGAAGTATCGGCACTGCTGGGCTTTCTTCATGACAACTGTAGTTTTGGTTCATGAGGTGAGGATACCTGAAAAAAGGAACAATCTCCACCGCTGGTCCATTGATATTGCGTGGAAAGGGACACTGCTAGTCCTGCAGAAATCAACAACCATTTCTTTGACTTCTAAAAGATTGAGGATGATATTGTTTTCTCTGCACCAGCACATCTGGTCCTCCACCTACCACATGTACAATGACTTGTCTCCATGGGTAATGAGCCCAACCACTGCTGTGCCATATGTAAACTTTACCACTAGGTTCTGGTTGTGGTGAGCTCTGCAGTCACTAGTACTGATGGTGAACAGCAGTGGGCTGAGCACGCAGCCCTAGAGTGAGCCAGTGCTCATTATGATGGTGAAGGATGTGGTGGTGTTGATCCTGACACTCAGAAAACCCTGGACCCTGCTGCACAGGTACATAGAGGTTTCAGGTGCTGCAACCTTGGACACCAGTTTCTGCAATATGATGGTGTTGAAGGCAGAACTGAAGTCTAGGAACATCAGCATCATGTAGCAATCCCTATTTTCTAGGTGAAAGAGGGCCTGGTGGTTCGGAGGAACGATGCCACCTGCCAAGGAACGGTTGTGCTTATATACTGATGACAGTCCTCAACCCTGTCTGTGATGTTTTTCAGGTGCTTCATCACTAGTCTCTTAAAGTGTGTGAATTCTGTGTGTTCTAGAATTGCGCCGCTCAGAATGGTTGCATGTTGGACCAGCTCTGTTACTTTCATTCTGGGATTTTACTTTTGGAAACTTTAATTCCTGTTTTTCTGGATGTAAGTCACATTTTTTTGGATGATTGTTTCCTCTGGTATCCAATGTTATGCAGCTGGAAGGATTTTTACTGAAACTTTTTTAGTTTTGGCATTTGTTATTATGCGTAACCATGGCAACAAGGCAGTTTTCTACAACCAACAGCCGCTGATTAACATCTCAAAAGCTCAAATAATATCTCAACTACAGCCCCCAATCTCAGATGAGTTGAAAAGGATGTTCTGTGGATGCATTCTCATCTACCTGATGGCTACGCTCGAGTGCTTGACCCCTCAGATCCTGGAACTAGCAGGAAACATGGCTCATGACAGCGGAAAGACAGGATTGTCCCTTGGTATCTACAGTTGGCTGTCCGCAGCAACGAGGAGCTCGGCAGACTGCTGGGAGGAGTGGTCATCGCTCTGGGAGGAGTTCTTCCCGGCATTCGGGTGGTCCTACAGCCCGGGGGAACCGAGAGGCCAGCCAAGTCTGGGTGGATGGATCGGACGGCATCTGCAGCCAGTTTCTTAGGATCTACTGTGGGATGGACCTTTACAAGAGATCCTTCTTGTCTACAGCCATCAGCATCTATAACATCTCTTAATGAAAGGAGGATAATGAGTTACAACAACAAATAATTTCCCTCTGGGATTAATAAAGTATTTTTGAATTGAATTGAATTGAATGATGATGACAGAGGTGAGGTTAACAGCACTGTGATTGTTGAGACATGATGCTATAGAGGTTTGTCATAGGGCTGATGGTGGATGTCTTGAGGCATGATATGACTTTGCTTAGGAATAGTGAGATGGTAAATATGCTCACCAGAATCTCAGACAGCTGGTGTGCACAGTCCATCTAATTTCTGTCTGGAATCTCATCAGGGCCTGGGCCTTTGGAGGGTTCACCTTGTGCAGCATCCTCCTGAACTCTGCTGCTATAGTGTTGATGGCTGAAGGCTTATGGGATGTGGGGGTGAGCTGGGAAGGAGTGCTGGTGTTGGAGGCTGCAAAGTGAGTGTAGAAGACATTCAAGGAGTTGAGAAGTGTTGGATCTACAGGTACTGTGTGCCACTCTTCTTGCAGTCTGTGATACACCTGATGACTTTCCACATGCTCTGTGGGTCCTTTGACTCAAAGTGATCTTGGATCTTCATAAAGTGTGGATTTGGTTTTCCTAATGCCCCTGGATAGGTGTCTTCTGGCTGCTTTTAGAGCTGTTGCATCACCTTCCCTGAATGCAGCATTGCAGATTCTCAGTAGAAAGCACACCTATGCAGTCAGCCATCGTTTCTGACTTGGCCAGATGGTGATGTTCCTGGAGAAGGTTACATTCTCCATGCACTACCTGATGTAATGCAGGACAGATGACGTGTACTCCGCCAGGTCCACAGTGCTCCCTGATATTGCAGCCTCCCTGAATGTCCCTGTGGTGTCAAAGCCCTGGAGCAAAGACCCAGCACCATTTGGCTACACAGCGATCGTCTTTGTCCACAATGTCCCTACTCTTGGACACTGCAGTAGGCTGAAGGCAGCAGGGCAGAGATGTGGTCTGAGGCACTGAGGTGGGGATAAGGCATTACTCTGTCAAACCCACATCTATTGGTAAACACTTCGTCCAGAATTCCTACTCCTCGATTGGCTATGTTGACATGCTCGTGGAACATGAAGAGGATGTCCTGCAGGTTCACATGGTTGAAGTCCCTCGCCACTATGTACAGTGCCTCTGAGTTTTGGTTCTGCAGTGTGCTAATAGTGTGGTGAAGCTGCCTCAAAGCAAATGATGAACACTGCTGTAAACTCCTGCAGCAGATAGTGAGGCTGGCTTTTCACTGTTAAATGTTCCACAGCCTCAGAGCAGTGAACTGTTCAATACAAAATTGTTAACAAAGTTCTTATTGTAATTAGGCTGACAGAAGACAACAACAAATAATGCTAGTTGTGACAGATTAGCCACAAACAGCTGCATGTCAAAAGAAGTAAATGCTTGGAGGCAAAAGTCTACATTTAACATTGTTTTGTAAAACAATGGCAATGTCCCCACCACAGCCCATCAGATGAGGGGAGCGGAAAAAAGAACAGCCAAATGGGAGAAGCTCCAGGAAGGCATAATTTTCACCTGGTTTCATCCAAGTGTCTGTCAACAGAAGATCTGAAAAAAAAAATTAGATGAGAAAACTTCATCAATGATGAAAGCGTTTGTGTGTGATCTGATGCTTTGCATGCCAAACGGATAGAGTAGAGATCAGACAGTTTGCTGAGTGCAATGAACAAGCATGTGGAGGATCTTTGGAGCGCAGCCCTTTATACACATCCTTATGTGCCAGCAGCAGGGGAGGGGGCAGCTGGCATTTTGACAAATGGCTGAAGCAATTGGTAGCAGTTCTTTGTGACAGCTATAAAAGCATACATTATCCAAGGGAATTAATAACTTTAATTTTTAATAGTCACTGTAAACAATTAATACCACTTAGAAAATAAATGATGTAATCAAAATCTATATAGCTTATCTTCTTTAGGGGTTCAAATTTACAAGTTACTTTAAAAACGTAGCTCTCAAAACGAGACTAGAACATGTTTTGTTGTTTGTTATGTGAATGTTTTTAGTTGTGACTCTGGTGGGGACTGCGAGTGTCTGTGCACAGCCATAGCTTCCTACGCTGAGGAGTGTAATCGACGAGGGGTTTACATCCACTGGAGGTCCCAGGAGCTTTGTCGTATGTCACACAGACACAGCACGTCAACCCATGTATCCACCATTCGTCCTGAAAATTGTGTTTCATTTAAATTGCAGCTCTTCAGTGTGAGAAAGGACTGGTTTACAATCCATGTGGACCTGCTTGCACTCTGTCATGTCCAAGTGTCCATCAAAGTTCATACTCTCAGTGCGCTGTGCTTTCCTGTGTGGAGGGCTGCTTCTGCCCTGCTGGCACAGTCAGACATGGTAAGACAAATGTATATTTTACATTAAGGGTCAATTATTTTTTTCTTAACATTTCAGTGAGCGTACTTGCTAGTTATGGATAATTTATCAACAATTTGATTGCCTAAAGCCTCCCAAATAAAATAAAACCAAACTTTCTATTTCGTATAGGCCTCGCCCTGTAAGGCTGTTGCTAGTGGGTTTACCCCCACATGCAGCACTATATGCAGCCTTAAAGGGCGAAGCCCATACAAAATAGAATCTGGGGTTACAGTATGTAACCAATGTTTTTATGTGTTGTGGCCAGTTTAGTAACAGCAATTCAAAAGCTGTTTTCTTTTCTTTGTGCGAGTGTTAAAGGTATATTTCCATATGAACTATCACAATGGACTATTGGGTGCCACGCCACTACTACACTGCCACTCACTGGCCAGTCAGTGTTAGTGCACAAAAAGTTTTCTTCATTGTGACAGGTGGCCGGAAATGCTTACCACATCAAAAATATCTGACCCTTGCAAGTAAAAAATATGAACAATATAATAACCAAGATGTAATAAAATTAAAAAATTTTGAATTATTGATTTTATACTAGGATACTAAAATGACATCATGCATTGTTGGCAACATTTCAACAAAATGTGTACTATTAGTGTGACTTTCTATTCCTTTAAAATATTTGAATTACAATAACTGTTATAGCTGCTTATTTAAACTATTAAGCAGCAATGTTAACGTTTTTTTAACACGAATTATATTTTGTGTACATCAGTACCAATCTGCAAGTGTCCAAGAGCATCTTCATAATTTGTAGAAATCAAGTGCAGTAGTTACAGTGATGATTATTGATACTGTAAAATTAAGTATTAATCAATGTTAAAAGTTCTGTCAGTAAGGTGAAGGATTCTGAGGGAGCTGAAGTTGCTGAGGGAGCTGGGGATGGTTTATGTTTAGACTGTTAATCTCTTTTGGGAAACTTGTAAATGTCATGGGGAAGAAGCTGAGCTTTAGCCTGTTAGTGTGGTTTGATTTACTCTGAGTCTGCTGGAGGGGAGGTCAGAGAACAAAGTGTCCTGGACGAGTGAATCTTTGTGGCCCTTCAGAAGAGGCGCCTCAAGTAGATATCATCAGCCATAGTAGCGAGGAGCCAATGACCTTCTGAGCCATCTTGATGTCCTTCTGCAGCTGTTTCCTCTCCTCTGCTGTTCAGCTGCCAAACCACAGTGCATCCATATGTCATGATATCTTTATGGTGCAGTGGTAGAAGTTTCTCAGCAGAGGTGGAGGAAGTTTATTCTTCCTCAGCACTCTCAGAAAGAAGATACGCTTCAAACAAATAGTTGTTTATGCTGTTGGAGCTCAAGATGCTAAGAGTAATGAGCAAGTTGAAAATGATGAGAAAACTGAGGGAGATGAGAGTGAGAAGGGGCTACGTATGCTGAGGCAATTGAGGACAAAGAGGAATCTAAAGGTGCAGGGGAGCTGAAGCTGATAAGAGTCAAAACTGGTAAGTGAGCCAAGGATGATGATGGAGCCTAAGATGATTATGATGCTTGGGAAGATGTTGTTATTGAATTAGCTGAAAATGATGATACAGCAGAAAGCTGAGGAATCTGATGATGATGAGGGACATGCAGATAAGAACGCACCTTGGGAGCAGAGTATTCAATTCAATTCAAAAATACTTTATTGATCATAAAAGAAAAATAAGTGTTGTCATGGCTCATCATCCTGGTTTCATTCAAGAGTCGTTAGATGCTGATAGCTGTGGGGAGGAAGGATCTCCTGCATCCAATCTGAACAGTCTGGCCACAGATACTGATTCGTCCACCCAGATCCAGCTTGCTGTCAGATCCAGCGGGTCTCTCGGTCCTCCTGGGCAGCAGGATTGCCTGAATGCCGGGCAGAATTCCTCCCTGATCAATGGTCACTCCTTCCTTCAGTCTACTAGCTCCTCGTCACCACGGACAGACAGCTGAAGGTGCCGGAGGATGATTCCGGTCCTCCCGTTGTCATGAGCCGAGTTTCTCACCAGCTCCAGGATCTCGGCAGTCATGTACTCAAGCAACACTGCCAGGTTGATGGGAATTTGTCCATGGCGCCTCCTTTTCAACTCATCTGGGATTTTGGGTTTTAGTTGAGGTATTTGAGCTTTTGACATGGTAATCGGATGCTCCTGGTTGTTAAAAAAACACCTTGTTGCCACGGTTACACATCATAACAAATGCCCAAAAGTAAAAAGGTTTCAGGAAAAATCCTTCCAGCTGCACAGCATCTGATACCAGAGGAAGCAATCATCCAAAAAAAGAGATTTACATCCAGAAAAAAAAGCAAAATTAAAGTTTTTAAAAGCAATAACTCAGAATGAAAGTAACAGAGCTACTCCAACATGCAGCCACCCCGAGCTGTGCAATTCTAGAACAACAACCAGCGTATGCTGAAGGAGCTAATATTGCTAAGGGAGCTATGATAGTTAATATTTTCCAACTGCATCAACCAGCTGCTCCTTGGTCAAGTAGTTAAATCAAAATAGCAGCATTCCAGTTCACCAGCTTTTTTCCACAAACACACCCACAACACATGTCTGACAGTTCACACAATCTTTGGTGCATACCCCAGGAGAAAAAGTGCTGCCCTGACCTTGTGTCAACAGCAGGCTCATGCAAGAACAACTGACTTGAACTTGCCATGCAACTAAGTCAACTAGAGTGGATTTCTTCACTTCTCACAGATTATCTTTACTCTCATGCTTGCAAGCACTCCCCTTTGCCATATACTGTACTGTCACAGCAGTGCCCTCCTGTGAAATAAAGTGATCTCAGCAACAAAACAGAACAAATGCATCTATTGTGTGGACCTGAAACATTCTCACTCATATATTTTTTTCACAATATTTATCTTTCTTTAGTCACATAGTCTTTTACGCATGATGCCGAATGTTTTATGCTTTGCTGAACAGTTCATTTTGGTGTCCAGTTTAGGCTGATGGTAGCTTCTGATATATAATTTATTTGGCGTTTTATTGGAGCAGAGTGAAAGTCATGCTGTCCTCCATCTTTTCCTATCCCGTCGAACATATTAGTTCAGGCCAGTTTGGACAAAGGATCATTGTACTGGATCTCTCCTTTTCCCACACAAAAAGGTTTTTGCACTTTGTAGCTTCAACAGTGACTTTGGGGGTTTTGGCTTCTCTCTTTTTGTTTGTGTGAAGTTAGACTTCTGGCTTGTTGGTAAACCACTTTAGCTCTAACATGAATGTACTGTTCATTGGCCTTTGGAGGCAGGATTTCCAGTTTTGTTGTCACTGGTCTTTGTGGGGTTGGACAAAGGGAATCACTAGTTCTGTCATGAAGTGCGTTCAATGGGGATTCGATGCGGTGACATTCTTGCTGAGAGTCGGCAGCTCTACCAGCTTCACCACCGTTCCTCCTGCATTGTCATGTTTATTGTAATAATGCTTTGATAATACATTTTGTAAGATGACCAAAGATATTTATTTGAATTTATACATAAAAGTTTTTTTTTTCTGTTTCAGACAAATGAATATATATATATTTTTTTTTAATTTCCAAATCTCTTATTATTTATTTGGCTTTTTTTTATTTATTTAACAGGTGACAGCTGTATAATGCCTACTCAGTGTCCATGTGAGTGGGACGGCTCCATGTACCCCGCTGGAACATCGATTACTAAACACTGCCAGAACTGGTCTGTCAGTCTAAATGCTTTTCAAGAAAATATGATTTTTTAAAAGTTGACAACTAAATTATATTCTATTATTTGCACTCAGTTCTTGCAATGAAGGTATTTGGCAGTGTGAGGGTGTGGCTTGCCCTCCTCCCCCATCTCCATGCTTGGAGTCTGAGGTTGCATGTACCAGTGGGCGCTGCATCCCATCCCAGTGGGTGTGTGACAACGAGGACGACTGTGGTGACGGCTCAGATGAGATTTGCCCGTCCACCTGCTCCCCAGAACAGTTTCGCTGTTCAAGCAGGCCAAGGTGAATTTATGCTAGCTTTAATTTATAAATTTGTGGGTCTAAATACAAGAAGAAAAAAAAAGGTTTTGTTTATTTACTATTGTAACTAAACAAAACTTGTTTATTTTCTTTTTGTAATACTATCGGTAATTTGGGAGTTTGTTAAGGTAAGGTAAAGTTTCATACATGGTCCAAAGTAAAATCCATCCATGAATCTATTATCTTTATTCACTTCTTCCTTTTTGAGTCACGGGTGTCACTGGTGCCCATATCCAGCTGTCACTGTGTGAGAGGCGGGGGACACCCTGGATGGGTCTCCAGTCCATCACATGGACACATAGAGACAAACAAGACAAACAACCATTCACTCTCACTCACACCTAGAGACAGTTTAGAGTCACCAATCAGTCAAACGTGCATGTTTTTGGTCTGTGGGAGGAAACCGGAGTACCCGGAGAAAAGCCACACATGCACAGAGAGAACATGCAAACTCCACCCAGAAATGTCCCCAGACTGGGATTTGAAGCAGTGACCTTCTCGCTGAGAGAATTTTTGTGACATGACTTTATTTTTTGTATTTAACATCACTGACAGTCTAAACTTGGATACTGATTTCAGTCTGCAGCTTGTTAAAAGTAAGGCTTGTCCAATTCTTACAGTGTCTCATTAAACTACTGAATTAATTATTTTACAGTATACTTTATTAATATGCTGGCAACACACTCTACATTTAAATTTTTTACATATTCGCTGAAGACAGACGTATTATGGTACAGTCTTCGCCCGTCCAAACTGACTGAGATGTAAACTTTCTCCTATCCCACCCATAACTCTTGGTAGGTAGACCAGAGTGCTCTTACTGGAGTGTAGATGTTCAGAAGATGACAAAAATATGACGAGGCAAGACCTTTTAAGACTTTAAAACCATGCAATAAAATCTTAAAATCAGTCCGTAAAGAGAAGCCAAGACAGGGGTTGTGTGTTTGTGTTTTTAGTTGTTGTTAAAAGACGTTGCTGCGTTCTGGACGGTTTGTAAACAATGCAAAGATGATTTATCTAAACCAACATACAATGAATTACAATAGTCCAAACAAGAGGTAGTAGAAGCAAATGTAGTGCCCGTACCAAGTAGCTAAAGAATTAACCAATAGGTTAGGTTTAAGTGTAGTACATTGGTCGGAGCCCTGGGAACGTTATTTTAAAGATAGCTGCACTAACAGCTTACAGGAGATACAACTTACCGTTTATGTTTAATTTAAAGGCGGTGCCTCCACTTTCCAGGAAATTATGACTTACACTGTGTTTAACCCACTAATAATTTTATTTGATTCACATATAAAATTAAACAAAACAACTTTTTCAACATAAAATTCAGCGCCAAAAGAATCCGTTTCTGGCCTGAATCGTTGCTTGGGTGTGTGGGAGCTAAAAACAAACAGCTCCTGAGCTCCCACTGAGCAAAGAAAATAAAAAGCACATGCATTGGCTTAGGTTTGTACTCACAAATCCTTCAAAGTTTGAGATTAGCTTGGGAAAGATAAATGTGGAGATCCCTTTAATATGGCGCTGAGTAAGGTAAGTAGACAGGTGATGTCAAACGAACACCAAGGTCCTTCCTGGCAGCAAGCCTCAATGGAGAGAACCCAACAGTTGAATGGGGAACTTTTAACTCATCCAGCAGGTCCAAAGATTAGCTCCTGGTTCACTTTCATATGCTTCTTAAAATCCATTACAGTCGGCAACTCTGCATTACTCTGTTATTGTCCCACATCTGCGTTGCCATGAGCTCTGCCTTGTCTGGTTTTCACAGTGACCCACGTTTCATGCAGCGTATCATTAATCCCGCCCACTCACATCTGATTGGGCAAAATAAAATGCTTAATCCAATACAAAACAAAACTGAACAACATTGACACTTAGCACAACTCAAAAAGCAGGTTGTGATCCTGCTACATGGCACCCATGTACACCTTACACAAACTTATGTGACGTTCAAGGAACGTAGTACAAACAAAAACAGCCCGTTTAGTCTGCTTGAACTAGATTTTTTTGACCAAATATGAAATGTTTTTTAAAATGATACATTTGTAAATGACATAAGAGTTTTTATATTTCATATAATTCTACTTTTTATCACTTAGACATTGTTTTTTTTAAACTTAAATGCTATTACTATGAATTTAGTTTAATACTTTAATTTGTACTATATAGCGCAATTGAAACTGCACTACACATAAATCACTTTTTCAGTCTTTAGTGCCTATGAGTCTTGGAAAAAAACTAGACGTCACAAGTTAATTTATCTGGTTTTCTAATTTAAAAGCACTGTCGGAAATAACTCCCACATTCCTGGCAGTGGAGTGGCTGTATGAAGCCAAGCGGTCAAGTGTGTTACAGTAAAAGTAGTACATTTACCAAAGCTGATGACTTCAGTTTTGTTTTCATTTAAAATCAGAAAATTTAGTTTCAACCAGACTTTACTGTTGTTTGGACAGATCAAGAGTGGTTCCAGTGGAGTGACTCTGTCTAACTTCATGGGCAGATACAACTGAATATCATCAGCAACTCTATGAAAAGAGATGTTATGTTTTCTAAAAATGGACCCCAAAGGCAACAAGTAAAGATTAATAAGCAATAGACCTAAACCATGCCTCCTGGCCCATGTAGGACTGCTTTGGTCTGCAGGTGCTCACTAATACAAAATAGACATCCCTCTTTTTTATCAGCTAATGTTACATACTAACTGTACCGGTACTTATTCAGCTTATGTAGTTTATTGAACTTTTTTTTTTTTTGTCTTGTTATTAAAATGTGATTCTAAAGATTATTTTCATTACAGCTTTACGAGGATAAAAAATGTCAAATTTAATTTATCAGTCTTTCTGATTGAATAAAATTCCTAAAATCAACTGAATGAGTTAACTCTTATCTCCAGTGGACCATGTTTGAACCTGGCGCTGCGCTGTGATGGTCACCCAGACTGTGCTGACCAATCAGATGAGGAGTTCTGTGGACCTGCCACCACAGTGCCCTCATGCTCTCCTGGAGAGTTTCAGTGTGCCAATGGAAAGTGCCTGCCAGTCACCCGTGTATGTGATGGACGGCTCGACTGTGGCTTTGCTGATGGGTCTGATGAGCAAGGTAAAAAATTAAAAAGGCAAATTTATAAAAATAGTTATGTCGTTGGACTTTTCACTTACAACATACTGCACTGCTATTTTTATTTTTTATTTTTTATTCAGGCTAGTCTTTTTTAAACACATTTTGCTAAACATGGTGTTTTATTAGGCTGTTTGATTTTTGGGGTTTTACATTTATACTGGTATGCTTCATTAGCCATATTTTCAACGTTTTTCTGTATTGCTGCTTTTATGACTATTTTGCTGTTCTGTGTTTTTGTTAACCCAGACTGTGGCGTGGTATGTGATGAAGGGGAGTTCCTCTGTCCAGGAGGACGCTGTATTCTCTACATCCATCGCTGTGATGGCCATGATGACTGTGGAAATTTAAGTGATGAGAGAGGGTGAGTCTATAGTTCTGCTCAGAAACTGCAACATAACTGATATCACTATTAAACTTTAGTTATACATTTACAGAAAATGCACAACAATTGTTTGACTTTGCACAGTGTTACTTGCCTAGAAAACAAACATGAATTTGATAATCGTGTTTTAGTTACATCAAATAACAGAAAAATTAAGTACAAAAATCCAGTTCAATCCACATTCAATTTCATTTACCATCAATTCAGTTCTTATTGTATTGCAATACATTAACAAATAGTACATTATTAAATGCCAATTACCAAGAGCTGTCTGTTTCAAGAAGCCAGCAGATTGCATAAATCTTCACTTTATCATGATCTCTGTGTTCATTCGTACTCATCTGCTCACACAGACTCATGTTCAAACTGTTGTTCGGCGTATTGTTTTTGTACTACTAGTGCTTAGCGTGTTTTTAGTTTAACATTTTTCTTAGTTCATATTTTAGATCTGATTACCGTTTTTCTTTACAATTTATACTTATGTAACTGGGACCCTGTGTACTAGGGATGTGCGATATGGTATAAAATTCATATCACGATATGTATTGTGAAGGGTGGCGATAACAATAGATTTCACAATATGATTTTGGTATAAAATTTGCAATAGGAATGAAAAAAGCATAGGGTGTCCTTTTGCCATAATTTATTTTGAAAACTGCTATACCACAAAATAATCTCAATCAAGAAAATTCCACCACTAGGTCCAAAGAGTTTTTAAATAATAAACAAATCAAGTATTGGGCTTCTTTCTTGTAGTGCAAAACAGTGCAAATGGTAGCAAATGTAGTTTTAGCCATATGTTTTAAACAAAAGAATATGTTGTTAACTCTTATCAGTTTCCAGTATTCTCACTTAAGAAATGAACAGCAACAGAGCAGCATTTTACACTGAAAACACTTCACCCTTCAACCCTCTAGTGGGCGTCTCCTTCCACTTTAAGGTGTGCTGACACAAAATGGCGACCAGTTTCCTCTGTGGCTTTGACCAGAGGGTCTCGCAGTAAAATCACACAACACAGCGTTCTTTTTACAGATCAGAGAGCAGGTTTTTCTAAAGCTGAGCAATTGTTACTTTAACTTTCGACGGGGAAAGAAAACAAAACTTTAGACGGAACATAGCGTTTTGTGCATGCGTCCGGATACAGCAACAATACGGCAAGCCGGCCGTAGTTAGCTTGTAGCTTCGATACTTAGCTCTCGAAAAAATGACTACCACCACTTACGCATAGTTAAAAAAAAAAAAAGATTAAATCTGACAACTCTGATTTTACATCAGACACAGCATTACTGTGGTTAGCCGGTAGAAGACAGATCTCTATTGTAGGCTAAATGTCTATCATTTCTACCGTGTACCGTTTATATTGCGAATTCCTACTGTGTACACAATTTCGTTCCACCACATGTACTACATGTATGACAAATAAAGAAACAATGACTTAGATCTTCCATCCTGAGCAACATGGTGGTGACAATGAATAGTAACTCTTCCTTTTCAACAGGATGAGAACTCCAAAAGAACCTAGCTTAGGATAGGCAGCTAACTGTCTTGACTGGTTGGGTTCGAGAGGACAGGAAGGAGACAGACTTGTTGGGGTGGAATTTCTATGGGTATAAAAAACAAAGTAAAATGATGGCTAATGACAGCAATATTTGCAGGTACAAACATGAGGAGAGAAAATAAGAGTCAACAGCGTAATGAAATGTGGTTATTATGTTCTAAAGCAGTTTAGACCTTTAGTAGCATAAGTGAGAGACAGCTCAGGAAACCCAAGCCAACTCTAACTATAGGATATAACAAAAAAGAAAATATTTTACTATAGTTTTAAAAGTAGACAGTCATCCTCATGGAGAGATACTGGAAGTTGATTTTGCGAGAGCTTAACTTCAAGTCCTGCTTCCCATTCTTCATTTGGGAACTGTAGGAACCACATGTAAGCCTGCAGTCAGAAACCACATGTAAACCTGCTGTCAGATAGCCAAAAACACTGTTAGGAAAATATAAAACAAAAGCGTCTTAAATAAAGTTGGAGTTTGATTGTTGAGATGTTTATATTGAAAGATAGTTTTACAATTTATTCTGAATTTGACAAGAACTCTGTTCTCTTATCAGTACTGTGGCAACACCAAATAGGATTGACTTGAGATTTTGTTTAAACATCCAGTAAATGTTTTTTTTTGTTCTTGTTCTTGTTTCTTTTCTTCTCCCCTCAATGGGGTAACCATAGCAAATGAAGTTGCATGATGCCCATTATCATTCAACTTTCTAACTGACTTGTAGGTGTGTGTGTGAACCAGGATACTTTCAGTGCCCAGGTGATCAGTGTATCCCTGTAGACAGATTATGCGATGGACACAAAGATTGTCCTTCTGGAACAGATGAAGCTATCTGTGCAAGCAAAGGTAATAAATACTCATACATACTACTGTATTTTCCACCCAAAAATATATACTGTATCAAAAATCATTAAAATACACGGAGCTATTTATTTTGATACTTGTGCATTACAGCTGCATACCTTTAACTTAAGGAGCATCCTACTTTTCTGTAATTTATACAGATGCAAATGTATTCGTATTTTTACATTGCAGTGACCTGTGCTCCCAACCAGTTTGCCTGTGCTGATGGTACATGTGTTGCCAAATCTAAGCTGTGTGATGGAACAGCTGATTGTCCAAACAGTGAGGACGAGCACAAAACTAATTGCTACACTGAGATCATAACACCACCTGTCACCCCAACGTCAGGTGAGAAAATAAAATAAAATAAATAAAATAATCAAATAAAAGGTTAAAGATTCCAGCAAACTCTTTTCCAGTTCAGAATCAATAAAACACATGGATTTATTATTCTTGATATTGGTATTTATGACTGATCTTTTGGGTTTTTAGATGTCTTAATTCTGTATTATGGTAGAACGCTTTCTGTCCATCTATCCTTTAGTTTGTGGACAGTTTCTTGTTTGAGCTCCAAAGTGATAAGCCTTTAATGTAGAAAGGTCAAGTGCACAACTGGTCACATCAAGGGGTCAAGGATGGCCCCTATTGATTTAAAGGTCATGGGTCGAAGATCAAGGTCACATGTGGCTCCTTTGTTAAGACCTTGTCTGCTCCAGCTTGACAATCCAGTAACATAGAGTTGTTAAATCCTTTGTTCCAGAGATTGTGCCGATTTGTCCATCAACAAGACAGTACGCAGTAGTTTGTCCATGGTGGAACTTCACAAATATTTATGGTAGAAAATGTCATTAGACTTTGGCTCTACATTGGATCTTATTTTTACAGTATAATGACCACCTTCACCCCAAAACCCTTGAGTTGTCCTAGTGAAGTCTACTACTCTGATCATAAAATGGTTTCAGTGGGCAGGTAGTCATCAACAGGTGGGTTTTCACAACCAGTAGCAGCACTTTCATATTCTTTTCATATTATTTAACTCTAACATATACTGCTTCTCCTCAGATACATAGATAACTTACTTTTTATGTATACAAATGTTTCTGTTCAGTGCCCTGAGATGACTTCTGTTTTGACTTGGCGTTATAAAAATAAACTGAATTCAATTGAACTGAACTGAACAATTTGAGGATTTACAGTATGGACAACATTATTATTAGTAAAATAAATCTTTCACCCCACCACAATCAATTCAGGGTTGTTATGTGGTGGACTTCATGCTTTGGATTTTGATTACACTTAACATTTAATGATGTTTATTGGCAATATTTTGTCATTTCTTATATTGTTCACACTTTGTTTTTTGTGAAATACATTTGGTTTTCCAGTCTGTAGGTCCTATGAATTTATCTGTGCCAATGGTGGGCAGTGTGTTCCTCGGGCATGGCAGTGTGATGGGGAAACAGACTGCCAGGATGGTAGTGATGAGCAGCAGTGTGCTGCTCCATGCAGTCCTGGCCAGGTGCCTTGCCTCAGTGGGGACCAGTGTGTATATTATCAACAACTCTGTGACGGAACCCCACACTGTAGGGATGCTTCAGATGAGAGTGTTAACAATTGCGGTGAGTTTACATTCCCAGGCTACAACAAAGTAATGGCAATACATATTACAGCCTCATATGTACCAGTTACTTGCAATGACCATACCTGGTAATGGTACCAACTTGGTACCAACTGGTACCAAGTTGGCATCAGGCACATACCCTTTTGTTGTTGAGAGCCAGGTACATCCCAAATATGTAGCAGGCATTATTGGTATGTACCATGCACTAGTGGTATGTACCAGACACATAACTGCTTTGTACTACATACATACCCAGGCTTGCATTAATTGCTAGCAGATGTTTTTGTATTAATAGGCAATGACAATTATTTTTATCTTCTAGGATCTGCTAAGATTCCTTCGTGTCCAGGTAGCTTCCCATGTGACAACCACACCTGTGTAAACATGTTAAAAGTGTGCAATGGCATCCCAGACTGTCCACGTGGTGATGATGAGTTGGTGTGTGGTGAGTTATCATAACAAAGAAAAGTGGAAGGATGAAGTGAAATAATAAAACAAGGAACAGCAAGACACTAACTATAATAGTAGTTAGGGTCCTAAATTAATGAAAAATTAGTAGATAAAAAAATGACAAAAGGTATCACAAACTGGACTGATAAATATGGGAAAATCTAGAGTGAATGAAATCATTAAGAATCAGCAGCCTTCTTCTTCTGGATTTTCTCTCTTCAGGGGTCACCACAGTGAGTCATCCTCCTCCATCTCACTCTGTCCTCTGCTTCCTCTGTCCTCACTCCAACTACATCCATGTCCTCTCAAACTGCTTCCATATGTCTCCTTTTTGGCCTTTCTCTGTTTTTTTTTTTTGCTGCATTTTTAACATCCTTCTACTAATATGCCCGCTGTCCCTCCTCTGGACATGTCCATCCAGCTCAGTCTGGTCCCTTTAACTTTGTCTCCCAGATGTTCAACTTGTGTTGTACCCCTGATGACCTCATGCCTAATCTTATCCATCCTTTTCACTTCTAAGGAGAACCTCAACATCTTCATTTCCATACCATTCCATACCATACCACTTTATTTATAGAGCACTTAAAACAGCGACAAGGCCAACCAAAGTGCTGGTGTTTTCTACCACTTCCAGTTCTTCCTCCTGTCTCTGTCTGTGCCACGGTCTCCAAACTATACAACATAGTTGGTCTCACCACTGTCGTAAATTTTTCCTTTGACCTTTGCTGACACCCTTTTGTTGCAAATCACTCCTGAAAAAATTATCCATCCACTCCATCCTGCCTGGACTCTCTTTTTCACCTCTTTATCACACTCCCCATTTTCCTGGACAGTGGACCATAAGTACTTGAAGCCATGCACCTTTGTGACCTTTGCTCCTTGTAGCCTCACTGTTCCACCTGTCTCCCTCTAATTTACACACATGTACTCTGTCATGGCCCATCCTCTGACTGGCAGGGGTGGTTCCTCCCACAGGTAGAGGTTGGCTTTGAGCAACTGGAGCCACCTGGGCTCAGAAATTTAAAACTGAGCTCTACTAACCTTTTGTCTCTCCCGCTCCTCCAGGTAAACTGTTTTTGTCCTTTGTTCCAGTTTGGTTTTGGGTGGAGATATTCATTCAGATGCACTCTTACACTGCACACACTAAACATACTTGCATACCTACATTCATATTTATTATCTTTGTTTGGGTTTTGATTATATTGTGCAATAAAAATATTTTAATTGGCTTTTACCTTTGTCTCCCCTCATTTTTGTTATGGGCCATGATCCGGCCCTGTGACAACTCTGTCTTACAGCTGACTTTATTTCCTATTTATTCAAATGCATACCTCCACCTTTCTTAAGTTTTCTTACATATGTTCCCTGCTCTCACCAAGATCACAATGTCATCTGCAAACATCATAGTCCACAGGGATTTCTGCCTGACCTAACCTTTAGTCAGTCCATCACCAGAGCAAACAAGAAGGGGCTCAGAGCCGATCCTTGATGCAATCTCACCTCCACCTTGAACCTATCTTTCTCTTCTACATCACATATCACCACTGTCCTGCTGTCTTCATACATGTCCTGTACCAGTCTAACATAATTCTCTGCCACTCCAGATTTCCTCATGCAATACCACACCTCCTCCCTCGGCACCCTGTTATAAGCATTGTTTAAATCCACAAAGATGCAAATGAAGTTCTTTCTGACCCTTTCTGCACTTCTCCATCAGTATCCTCAAAGCAAAGCAAAATGGCATTTGTGGGGCTCTTTCTCAGCACAAAACCATACTTTCTTTTTCTATTGGCTGTTCCCTTCTTCAGGGGTTGCCACAGCGAACTAATTTGCATGAAGACTTGGCAATTGTTTTCACAGTGGATGCCTTTCATGGCACAACCACAGACCATTGAGCTACCACAGTCCTCTGTGTGGTGCAGAGCACAGCCATCTAGGGCTCCTGGGGGAGCAGATGGTGAGGGTTAGGGCCTTGCTTAAGGGGCCAGAGTGGGGCAAATGAGGATGGAGGCAGGTGTAGATTATTTACCTTTCCCACCCACATTTTGATATTGCAGCTCACAAATTGTCACCTCTCTTCTAAGTCTAGGTTCCACAGCTTTCTCTCAGATCTTCATTGTGTGACTCATCAACTTAATTCTCCTGTAGTTGCTTCTACTCTGTGCATCACCCTTCCTAAAAATGGGCACCAGCACACTTCTTAATTCCTCTGGCATTCTCTCACCCTCAAATATGCCATTGAATATCTGAGACAAATACCTCTCTGCTATCTCTCCTAGAAATTTAGAAACCTCCACTGCTATGTCATCAGGTCCTTCTTCCTTCCCCTTCTTCATTATTTTCAGAGCATTCCAAACTTTAACCGTACTATTCTTTCCCATTTCCTGATCCACAGTTTCTTTGACCTCTTATCTTCTTTCTCTTTCATTATTGTCATTCCTTAGCTCTTCCAATTACTCCTTCCATATTCCTGTCATAGTATTGTCACTTGTTAAAATATGATCATTTCAATCTTTAACAAGCCTAACCTACTGTACATCCTTTCCACCCTGGTCCCTCTTTCTTGCCAACTGGTAAAAAGTTCTCCTCACTGTTTTTAGTGTCCAGCCTCACATACAACTCATCATATGCCTTCTGCTTTACCTTTGGTACCTCCCTCTTTGCTCTACATTGCATCTCCTTGTATTCATGTCTCCTCACTTAATTTCTGTCACTGTCATATTTCTTCTTGGCTAACCCTTTTCTTTGAATATCATCCTGCCCTTCATTATTCTACAAGCTGGTTTCCTTTCATTTTTTCTGTCCAGAGGACACACCAAGTACCTTTCTACATGTCTATCTACTTACTGTTGCTGTAGTAGCCCAGTTATCTGGAAGCTCTTTCTTACCACTCAGATCCTTTAACAGCTTCTCTCTGAACACCTCACAACATTCCTCCTTCCTTAGTTTCAACTATTTGGTCTTCTATGATTTTTTTCTTTATCTCTTCTTCACAACAACTGGTCATTCTAAAACCACCATCAAATGTTTTCTTGCCACAACTTTACAGTCCCTGGTCTCCGTCAGGTTTCCTCTTCTACAAAGAATGTAGTCTACCTGCATACTCCTGCCTCCATGGTTATAGGTTCCACTATGTTCCTCCCTCTTTTGCAAAAAGTGTTAACTACAGCCATTTCTATTCCTTGGCAAAAGCCACAACCATCTGTCCTTCCTGTTTTTTTCATTGACACCAAACTTACCCATTAACTTCTCATCCCCTCTAATTCCTTCACCAATGTTTCCATTCTGCTCTGATCACCACTCTCTACTACCTGAGAATACTCTCATTACTGTATATCCAGTTATTTCCTAAATTATTTCTCCTCTAGGTCACATCCAACCTGTGGAGCATAACCACTGACAACATTTCACATCAAACTTTTTACTTCTACCTGCAGGCACATCACCCTATCTAACACTCTTTTTACCTCTACTACATTCTTTGCCAACTCTTCCTTCAGGACCACCCCTAGTGTATTTATCCTTCTATCCACTTCATGGTAAAATAGCTTCAATCCTGTCCCAATGCTGCGAGTCCTGCTGCCCTTCCACTTGGTCTCTTGGACACATAAAATATCTCCCTTCCTTCTCTGCATCATGTCAGCAGGCTCTCTACTTTTGCCTGTCATTATCCCTATGCTTAGTTGCCACCCTCAATTCTTGATGTTCCTCCTCTCCGTCTGTCTCCTGACATGTTTCTCTCCTTGTGGTCTTTGACTAACAATAGCACAATTTATGCCGACACTCTGTCACCAACATTGGTGGCATTCTTTGTTAACCTGGGCCTCAACCAATCTGGTATGGTGTTGTTTGGCTGAACTTGCAAGTTTGTGTTGACAAAAGTATTGTACGTTGGAAGCCCATCCTGACACAACCTTCACCATTTACTTAGCCTTGGGACAAGCACAAGAGATGCATTGGCTTGTGCTCCCTAGTGGCTGGTTTAAAGTTATGTAAATCTTCTTTTGTCTAGATAAAACCATCTCACCAGTTCACCCTGGGAGTAGGAACGTCACTACTACCTGTTCTGAGTTCACCTGCTTAGATGGAACCTGTGTACCATTTAACTTGGTGAGTCTCTAATCAATATTTATTCATCACTAGCAAGATGCATTCCAATATTAGGTTATTGTGATTCTTTGCATTTTAAAGAAAAAATAATACAATATCCTTTTTTTTTTAAAAAGTGATGTCATTTGTATGGTATCACTCAATTAATTCAGTTTATTTATATAGTTCCAAGACACAACAGAAGTCATCTCAGGGCACTGTACAGAAACATTCACATAAAAGTAAAGATTATCTATCTAAGAAACACAGCAGATTGCATTTAATCTTCACTTTGTTGCAGTCTCCCATCCTGAGCAAGCACAGTGGCAACAGTGGGAAGGAAAAACTCCCTTTTAACAGGGCGAAACCTCGAGCAGAACCAGGCTCAAGATGAGCAGCCATCTGCTTCGACCGGATGGGGTTTGAGAGGACAGGAAGGAGAAACAAACAAAAATAAAATGACAGGTCCAGGTGTAATTCCAATTGGAAGAAAGACAAAAACACATGCTAAGGATATAAATAATTACAAAGCTGCATTATCTTTGACTCCAAAAATGCAGTCTTAGAATTTACCTATAGACCTTGACCTACCAGTAGGTGATTATTTTGTGCACACTATTATACTATTGTTGATCCCTTTAGGGTAAAATAATTAATCTATTCAATCATTCACCCAACCCTCTGTTTGTCATTCCATCTTCTGACTGAGGAGAATTTAACTAAAAGAAGACAATGGTGAGGTTAATTACCACTTTATCATGGTAAAGGTGTTTTAAGTGTTTCAATTTCCCTAAAATGATCCTATGCTGTTAAGAGCAGTTTGCCTCTTGTAGAGGTTTCCATAACAAATGGTTTTTTTGGTCAGGGTCCAGATAACAAGCAATTCAAAAACTGTCATATGACTATATAACTGAGTAACTGAAATACCTGACAAAGACTAGGAATATTAGAGATTGACGCTTAAGGTAGGTCTGGCGGAGAAGCTTGTTGGTGAGTGCCTGGTGGTTTACACATGGAGTCCAACACCGCACAGCCTGTACGTGCTGCATAAGACCACTTTCCAGTGAAGTTAGCACCTGCAGAATGTAGGATCCATGCAGCCTGGCATTTTGATCCATAGCTGCTAAAACTGGCATTAGTGACACGTAATAATATTCAGTTTATTGTGAAACAAACAAAAAATAAAATTATAATATATCAAATAAAAAATACTTTACACATTTGCTCAAAATAAATTTCTTGAACACAACTAACATATTCAAAAACATTGTAACCATTATGTTCACCCAATATTATTAGGTGTGCAATGGTGTGGCAGACTGTCCGGACTCTTCACGAACAGCATTTGGAAGGTCAACCGATGAGCAGGGTTGTAGAACGTGGAGCTCTTGGGGTCCCTGGAGCTCTTGCAGTACATCCTGTGGGACAGGTTCTATGAGCCGGTATAGAACCTGTCCTCCAGGGAACTCTCTGCACCGCTGTTGGGGTCAAGACAATCAGAGGCAGCAGTGCTTCAACACCACATGTCCTGGTAAACAAATCACTTTTAGATTTACTATTTTCTTCTTGTACACTATAATATTTTTAAATATCCTTATTATTAAAATATGTTTGCTGTCCTTTCCAGTGGATAGTCAGTGGCTGCCATGGGGAAGATGGTCAAACTGTTCTCGTAGTTGTGGTGGAGTGCAGGTGAGACATAGAGAATGCATTCCTCCTCAATATGGAGGCCGACACTGTTCCCAGTTTGAGGGACCAACTAACCTCTCCCTGGAATTCAGTAAGAGCTCTTCTCAAACTGTTGAATGTGCTAATATGATACTTATTTATGTTACAAGATTGTACAAAATTGTGGTGTCCCACAGACTTCAAAACAAAGACTCATTATTTCATGCATTGAAAGGCTTACCTTGTGTTATACATTTAGAAAATGCAACTTGTCATCAGTATAAACATGCTTAGGTCTTACACCACTCAAATTGTGATAGGATGCAGAACGATGTTAACTTTATTATTTCATCAAGTAATGCAAATATACAAGCTACATGTACAGTGGCACAACTCACATATTTGTATGATTTTAACCTGATGACCTAACTTTAGGATTTATCAAAAAGGAAAGACTTAAGCCTAATTTTAAATGTAGACAATGTGTCAGCCTCACTGACAGAAACTGGAAGTTGGTTCCACAAGAGAGGAGCCTGTTAACTGAAAGATCTTCCTCCCATTCTGCTTTTGGAAACTCTAAGAACCAAAAGTAAACCTGCAGTCTGAGAATGAAGTGCTCTGTTGGAAAAATATGGAACAATAAAATCTCTAATATAAGATGAAGTTAGGTTGTTGAGAACTTTATATGCGTTAAGTAAGATTTTGAATTATATTCTGAATTTGACAGGGAGCCAATGGAGAGAAGCTGAAACTGGAGAGATATGATCTCTCCTATCAACTTTCATTGTGGCCTAGAATTGCGCCGCTCAAGGTGGCTGCATGTTGGAGCAGCTCTGTTACTTTCATTCTGAGATTTTGCTTTTGGAAACTTTGATTCCTCTTTTTCTGGATGTGGATCACATTTTTTGGATGGTTGTTTCCTCTGGTATTGGATGCTGTGCAGTTGTAAGGGTTTTTGCTGGAGCTTGTTTAGTTTTGGACATTTGCTGTGATGCGTGGCCATGGCAACGGGGCAGTTTTCTGCAACCAGCAGCAGCTGATCGGCATCTCAGGGGCTCGAATGGTATCTCAACTACAGCCCCAAATCTCAAATGAGTTGAAAAGGATGTTCTGTGGATGCATTCTCATGTACCTGCCGGCTGTGCTCGGGTGCCTGACCACTGAGATCCTGGAACTGGAGGGAGGCATGGCTAGTGGCAGCGGAGGGACAGGGTTGTCCCTCGGCACCTACAGTTTGCTGCTGGCAGCAATGAGGTGCTCGGCAGACTGCTGGGAGGAGTGGCCATCGCTCTGGGAGAAGATCTGCATGGCATTCGGGCGGTCCTACAGCCTGGGGGAACCGAGAGGCCAACCAAGTCTGGGTGGACGGATCGGACGATAACTGCAGTCAGATTCTTAGGATCCACTGTGGGATGGACCTTTACAAGAGATCCTTCCTGTCTACAGCCATCATCATCTACAACATCTCTTAATGAAATGAGGATAATGAGTTACAACAACAAATAATTTCCCTTTGGGATTAATAAAGCATTTTTTAATTTAATTGAATTGAATTGAATTAAAACTCTGGCAGCAGCATTTTGGACAAGATGAAGACTTTTTAAAGACGTTTTTGGACACCACATAATAAAGAATTGAAATAGTCCAACATAGATGTGATAAATGCATGAACCAGTTTTTCTGCATCATTTTTGGACAAGATGTTTCTAATCTTAGTGATATTGTGCAGGTGGAGGGAAGTAGTTTTGGTAACATCTTTAATATGTGGGTTAAAAGGCATACCCTGATCAAAAGTAACACCAAGGTTTTTAACTTTAGAACAGGAGGCCAAATTAATGCCATCCTGAGAAAGTGAAAGACTGCAAAATTTATTCCTAAGATGCTCAGGTCCAAAAACCAAAGTGTCTGTCTTGTCTGAATTTTAAAGCAGAAAATTAAGGGTCATCCAAGTCTTTAAGACATGCTTGTAGTCTAAGTAGCTGATTGGATTCAACGGGTTTCATGGACAAGCATAACTGAGTATTATCAGCATAGCATTGAAAATGTATCCCATGCTGTTTAATAACTTCACCTAATGAAAGGAAGAAGTATTGGTCCAAGTACTGAACCCTGAGGAACTCCATGACTAATTTTGATGTATGAAAAATATGTATTATTTACATTTACAAACTGGAATATATCAGATAGATATGATTTAAACCATTTTAGAGCTGTTCCTGCAATCCCAATATCATATTCAAGCCTCTGTAGTAAAATATTGTGATCAACTGTTTCAAATGCAGCACTGAGGTCTAACAGGACCAGTATAGACACAAGTCCATTGTCTGAGGCCATGAGAATATCATTAGTGACTTTTACTAGTGCTGTTTCTGTGCTATGATGAGCTCTAAACCCTGACTGAAATTCTTCAAAACAGATTATTTCTTTGTAGATGATCATGCAGCTGCAACTATTTTCTCTAGAATTTTTGAGATGAAAGTTATGTTAGATATAGGTCTATAACTGGCCAGTATTCCTGAATCAAAATCAAACTTCTTAGGTAAAGGTTTAATTACAGCAACCTTAAATTACTGTGGTACATAACCATTCATTCAGACAAATTAAGCAGATCTAGAACGTGGACATCAATTAGGGGAAATACCTCTTTAAACAGTTTGGTCTAACCCATCAATAATTGGACAGCGGCACTTCAAAACCTAGTTAGGTTTCAGATGTGGCCAGTGCTCCTCTGGCCCCATCCCATAATCCACATATGAGGGACATGTGTTTATTTAGTAATATATACAAGATGAAACAATACTTTCCTCTCTGCCTACTTTAATTTTACAGAACCATGTTCTAATGATGGATGTACAAATACCAGCTGTCCACCTGGCCTTGTGAGACATACTTGTACTCCTTGCCCTGTCTCTTGTGCTCACATCAGCAGTGGGATAACCTGTGATCCCACAACGCCTTGCTTCTCTGGTCAGTCATAGCATCACAAAGCCATGGAATGATAGTTAACATGTCCTTGTAACCAATATGTCATTAAGACATTTAAAAACTGTTGCAGTAATTTAAAGAGTTTTGTATCTTTTTTTGTAATGTTGCCTTTGCCTTCAGGTTGCTGGTGTCCAGAAGGCCAGGTGATGAGCTACACACAACAATGTGTGTTGCCAGAAGAGTGTGCATGTGAAGTTGCAGGTGTGCGATACTGGCCAGGCCAGCAAATAAAACTTGACTGTGAGATTTGTGTTTGTGAGAGAGGAAAGCCTCAGAGATGTCAGCCCAACCTGGACTGCTCAGGTGAGATAAAGTGACTCTGCTGTACTGCGCTTTTGTATGGGCTATTAAACACACCCAGTTTCACTTATTTCAGTGCACTGTGGCTGGTCTTCATGGTCTGAATGGGGAGAGTGTTTGGGACCTTGTGGTGTCCAGAGTGTACAGTGGTCATTCCGCAGCCCAAATAATCCCACCAATCATGGAGATGGCAGAGCCTGTAGAGGAATTTACAGAAAAGCCCGCCGGTAATTATTACGTTCTTTGTTGAAAGTTAGAATTTTTTGTTTTACCGTTCAATCCATATGCTAAAACAACCATCCATTATCTTTACCTTCTTCTTCCTTTTTGTGTCTCGGGGGCCACTGGTGCCCATGTCCACCTATCACTGTGCAAGAGGCGGGGTACACCCTGGACAGGTCTGCAGTCCATCACAGGGACACATAGAGACAAACAACCATTCACTCTCTCACTCACACCTAGAGACAATTTAGAGTCACCAATCAGACTAACATGCATGTTTTTAGTCTGGGGAGGAAACCAGAGTACCCAGAGAAAATCCACACATGCACGGAGAGAACATGCAAACTCCACCCAGGAAAGCCCCCGGCCTTGGAACCGGGGCAACCTGCTCGATGAGAGGCAGCAACTCTAGCAACTGCACCACCGTGCTGCCCTATATGCAAACACAGTGTCTATATAAAGTATTCACTCCATTTGATGCTTTATACATTTACTGCTGTGGTAAATAATTCATAGTCAATATAAATTGACCTTTTTGACAAAGAAAAAATACAACAAAAAAAACCCACCTTCATTAATGTCAAATTGAAACCAGATTTCTAACAGAGCAATACCTATTTATTATTATATAATGTAATTATTCAACCTCTTTAAAGTGACAATCCTAATGCTATTTTTTGAAAGGCACAAGTTAGGGGGTGTATATAAAATGGTTTTCAAAGCCCTAAACATCCCCAAGAGTTCTGGTAAATCCATCACCAAGAAAGGGAATACATATGTTGAATATGTAATAAGAGCAGACTGTCCTCACAAACTGAGTGACCATGCACTGAGGAGAATAGTTAGAAACCACCGGCACACCTGAGAACACTAAACAAAAAGGGACTATTGAATAAAACTAATTAATTCTCTAGTTGAGTTTTTGGTTAACGATGAGAGCAAAACAGGCCACATTCAAAGTCACAAATCACCTTTCTTCCCCAGTTCTGAATTCATACAACTTTGTCACCCTTCTTTTCTGAAGCGAACCCAACTAGCCTTTACAACCATTAAAGTGAAGTCAAGTAAAGTCAGATTGAGCTCTTGGAAATCTCTCTCATTCAGTGACTAGACTTAAAGGGATAATTTATTATACTGTATTTCATCAGCCAAAAATATATATTTTTATGTTCTTGTGTGTTTGTGTCTGTGTGTGTGTGCAGGTGTCAGACAGCCCCATGTGATGAGTGTGAGTATCAAGGTCGGTTCCATGCAGTTGGAGAAAGATGGAGGGCAGAGCCATGCCTGTTATGTCACTGTTCCCTCAACCTTTCGGTGCAATGTGACATGTACTGTCCATACACCATCACTGGATGCCCTCAGGTAAAAGGAAATGCTCTTATAAGTGTTTGTTCAGGAATTATACATTTTCAGAGAGAGAAATGGGGAGTATTTGCATGTAATGAGGGGTGCTGGTGGCTGTATAAATAAACTTTCATCTATTGAAATGACAGAAACATCCAATGAAGAGATCAAAGTTCATGCTCAATCATCCAGGTCCAAAATCAAATAATGGTCAATCAGTTCATCTGGACAGTTTCTTTTTTCTGGAAAGACGTTTCACCCTCTATCCAGGGAACTTCTTCAGTCTGAGGCGTCCCAAGTAAACTGTTTTCCTCAGTTTGTACTGCTTAGTGGGGAAAACAGTCGACAGTGCTGCTGGTTCGGTATTACAGCAGTTTGAAGTAGAATAGAAAGTCTTACACGAAGTGCTCGGGGTTTCTGACTGTATGAAAACTATCATTCTTTTATTTGTCTGCCTTGAAGTTTATTACAAGTTTGCAAAAGCATCATCTCATTTCTTGTAGACAAAATGAAATACAGCTCCTCACAGGCACCTTAATGTCCACAAGCTTTTAGGAACAAAAAGCGCCTATGTTTGTTCTTAACTATGCACCTTTTGTTCATTTTTATCTACATGGCTGTGCACCTTGGCAGTTTAACACGTATGTAACTGAGCTACATGCTTGTTTTGTTCATGCAGGACCAAAGTCTGGTCCAAGGAGACACGTGTTGTTACTGCAAAGGTAAATAGATCAAAGTTGTTTTGCTATTTATTTTGATTCTATTACTTTAAATGAGAAATAAAATCATTTGTAGTTTATAATTCTTTATGAATTCCTTATGAATAAGGTATAATATACCTGGTACCACATGCGTACCATTTGTGGTTAGTATGATATGATCTGCACAAAAGATAAGCAACATTTTGGGCTGTGGTTTAAGACTTAAGGTAAATCCACAAATTTCCCTTTTTTTTTAAATAGAATAACACATTTTAGAGAAATCCATTAACCTTATTTTTATCCAAAGAATTCCCCACAGAACAGCAAAATATTTTACATTTTGCAAATTACTTTAAAAGTTGTTTTTATCATGTTTAAGTGAGAGCAGATCCCGAAGTGCAGACAAACTCAAAAAGGTTTGAAGTAAAATAAGAATTTAATTTTATTAACAAAAACAACAAGCTGATGAGGCAAAAAAATAAATAAAATACAACGGTAAGCTCATAAAAAAACTGCAGGAAACTAACATGACTGGCTCAAGAGCATAATGCACGGACAAGGAACAAGCAACAGGACACAAAATATAAAGAAAAGAAATATAATATATAAATAATAATATAATATATATAAATATAAAGGGACACTGAAGGAGCAATGTCATGCACCTGGGACGATACGAAGCAGGAACTGACTGAGGAGAACAAAACTGATGGCAGAAGCCAAACACAAATATCCTACAATACAACAATGAAGGGAATAAAACTAAAGGATAAACTGAAGGAACTGAACAAATAACAGAACAACAGAGATTATGATGGTTTTAAAAACCTTGGATGCCAGTTGGCAAAGCTTCAGCAGCAGCTTTTAGTAAAACAATGATACATGTGTATTAAATCAAAAAGGTTTAAAACTTACTGTGAAAATTATCTCTACATCATCTAATGCATCCAATTATAAAGTTGCATTCTGGTAAGTTTATTAAAACATAACCACTTTTACTGTTTTACTTTTTCTTTTCTCCCATTGGCATCAATTTTCTGGAAACATTCCAGCAGAGTCTGTTCACGTTGTTGTTCAAAATAGTGTAAGCATCAAGAAATTAGGACAATGAGAAAAAAAAATTGACCAACTGGGTCATAAACATTTTGCCATAATAAAGTTTCTGCACCATTATAATGATTTATTGATTATTTTTAGTGAAAAATGACACTGCGCCTGTGACAGTAAGCCCTGACAACGTGACAGTGAAGATGACTATAAGCGCCACACCCCTAGTCCCTACTTACCCCCTTGCTCCCGGAGGTTAGTGTGTTTTTATCTGTACTGAAATATAAATAAATGTGGAGCTTATTGAGTTTAGATTACTACCTCCATTGAAATTTAAATTCAATTGTTTTCTATTTAGCTGAATGTTGGGCTCCTCTGGGTGTCCAAACTCTCCCAGCTTCTAGTTTCAAGGCCTCGTCTCACCAAAATGCTCATCCACCTGAGGCAGCTCGTCTTCATTGGTGGGATCCTCATAGTGACCTGCAGGTACTCCGTTCTGATTAATACTGAATGTTGACACCAAACGTGATCAAAAATAACATTCCAGTCTCTGTTAGTTAATGATGATCAACCGACCGACGAACCAATCAATCGATCCATAAATCAAACAAAAACGTAGAAACGTGTGAGGTTTAGACATTTTAAGAAAAAGACGCTAATTGCATTTATTAAGAAAAGTTTGATTGTCATTCAAACTTTTAAAGAAAACATCAGTGGCAGCTGGTGTTCATTTTGGGTGCTTTAAAAACAACTTTATGTCCCTTTTCTCACAATGAAATAACAAGTGGCTAGACAGTTCTCACTCATAACGTTAGCATATGTTGAACTCTTTACTGTAACATAAGGTTTATATGTTAACTGTAATTGTTAGTTTGCAAGACATCGTACCAACTTCTTGACACAACCAAATAAAAACAGGTTAACTAGAGTAATAGCAAACAGAAAATAATGAAAAGCTTAAAAAAGCAGGATGTGTTTGGAGAAGTGCACACATTTTTTAAAAGAAGAAGCTCACATTGACGACTTCTCTGAGACAGCAAAAGGTTTTTCTATTTCAGATGATTTGGATGAATTCTGGATAAAATCTTGCTCGGTAAACATCTCCATCCAGCCATTCATTATCTTTTACCCGCTTCTTCCATTATGGGTCACGGGGGTCACTGGTGCCCATGTCCAGCAATTCAGTAAACATCTTAATCAGCGTTTTTTGTTTTTTTTTTACTTTTTAAATTAAAGTTATATATATATATGTGTGTGTGTGTGTGTGTGTGTGTAAATCAAAATCACATTTACAAATTGTATAAGTTAAAATCCTTTAAAGCTGCCTTGCCGATGGTAATTTCACAAACCCCATCAGTTCACCTTTCAGTTTTTTCTCAGCGGTCACTGGATGGAAAAAACACTACGGCTGTTGGCTTCAAACTAAAAACTAAAGCTAGAACTCTCCATTTGTTTGTTTAAAAATTGTCCCCAGTGTCTTTCCTTTCAGGTTTCTTTAAAAAAACATTAGAAAAATAAGAATGTGAAAGAAAAACATCTACCGTATTTATACTAATACTGACTTATACCATCTGCACTCCATGTATTAGTCTTTGGTCTACAAGCACAAGTGCAGAGGACATGATGTTGTATACCCTCTCATTAGCTGGAGTCTTTTGGCTGTTGAGCTGAACAAAATGTTTCCAAATAAGCAGAAAAAAATATTTCCCTGTCCCTAAAATAAGCACTCATTTACAACCATCATCTGACACTTTTTTTGCACAATAATTTTCCAACTTGAACAACAGTCACATCCAGGTACAGAGGTACAACCAGTACAACTTATCACACACAGCCTCACCAATACACATAAACCCACTGAGATGAGATACAAACATAACAAGAGAAACAGATCTGGATTGAAGGTACTGTCTTTGTCAATAAGCTGTGTTCATCTTGCAAAACTATGTGTACATCAAACCAATGAAATAACTTTTGTTGTAAATTAACTGTAAAACACTTGAAGGGCTGGAGTCCAGAACCAGAAGAGTATAAAGACCTACCACAGCAGAGACCAGAGGGACACAGTGGCAACATGCAAAGCCCCTACATTCAGATAGACCTGCTCAAAGCCTACAACATCACAGGTAAATAGAGATCCAAATGTAAATGAAAAAGTTGATGTGCTGAAGACTGACTGACACTGTTCACACGGGAATAGTGTTTGTAAATACATAATTTCCTTTTTATTGTTTCAGTCTAGCATTCATACATGAATTGTATTTTGGGAGCCATATATGGTATGTATCATAACTGGGTTTTAGTGACAAATTGCAAAAATGCCACCCTAGCATTTTCATCTGGATAGCATGAAAACAACTTTTTGAAAACTATGAAGTCATAGACCCAACCTTGGGTCCTGGTCCTTGGATAGACCTTATCTATGACCCCAAGTGCATTGACAGTAACAATAATAATGACAACTTACAATACAGCTTTATTTATAAAGCAATTTAAAAACAACACCATTGGTCAATGCACTGCACACTGATAACACATAAAAGCAAACATAAAGACAATAAAATATAATAAAACAAGTCTTTTAAGATAAAATTTAATAACAGGAAGTGAGTCAGCTGATGTGATGTGAAAAGGAAGCTCATTCCATAGTTTAGGGGCAGAGATTGAACATGCTTAGTCACCTCTCAGCCTTTTCTTTGATTTTGGAATGACCAACATCAACTGATCTGCAGACACGAGAAAGCGTTAGGGAACATACAGATGGAGCAAGTTGGACAGATAATGTGGGGCGAGACCATGAGCACGTTTAAAAACAAATAAAAGAACCTTAAAATTATTCAGAAACCAACCTTGAAGCTGATGAAGACGCTAAAACAGGCTTAATGTGCTCTTGTTTTCTGGTACCAGTTAAAAGGTGAGCAGCATTCTGAACCAGCTGAAGTCGAGTCAGAAATGACTGGCTCAGCCCAACATAAAGTGCATTACAATAATCTAAACAAATTGTGATTAAAGCATGGATGAAAATCTCATTGTTGCTATGAAATAAATGGTTTAACCTTGGCCAGTTGTCACTAGTGATAAAAGCTGGACTTGATCACTGATTTAATCTATGCATTGAGTTTAAAGTCATTGTCCTTACTAACACTCCAGTTAGTTGTTGTCAGATATTGACCCAGATAAGCATGGACTTTGGAACCATCAATGAGCTTAAACAACAAGACATTGGTCTTTTTCTCATTAAAATGTAAAAAAGTCAGTGACATCCATGCTTTGAAATCTGCAACATCTTGCAGGAGTTGGTTTACAGATGATTGCTTTTCTTGTTTTAATGGAACATAAATTTTCACAAGGACCCCACTCACCCAGCACACACACTTTTTGCCCCACTCCCCTCAGGAAGGAGGTTAAGGAGCATTAAGTGTAGAACCACTAGACTGAGGAACAGCTTCTACCCTGAAGCTGTTAGACTCATGAATCTCTAACTAGAATAATCACTGTGAAAAACCATATCATGTTGCTGCTGATCTGTTTCAATGTTGATGTGTTCATGCGTGCACATCTGCTCACAGACTCATGTTCATGTTTGTGCTGATGTTCAATGTTTTATGTTATGAGTGCTTAGTGTATATTTAGTTGATGTTTTTCTTAGTTCATATCTTAGATGTTATTACTGTTTTCCTTATACATTTTATTGTTGGATGTAACTGGGACCTTGTGTACATAATTTCGCTCCACCACATGTACCACATGAGGTGCGAATGACAATAAAGAAACTCTGACTCTGACTCTCTGATTTGGCTGTCATCAGCATAAAAATGCAAAGCGACACCATGTTTCTGGAGAATAGATTCTAGAGGGAGTAAAAAAAGGGAAAAAAGAAGAGAGCCAAGTTTAGAGCCCTGAGGTACGCCACATGTGAAAGGTATTACAGAGGATTCTACAATTCTGACACACATACAAAAGCTCCTATCTGTTAAATAGGATCTAAACCACTGCAGAGCAGAATCTGAATGCCCACCCAGTTTTCCAAGAGACAGGAGGATCTGATGGTCCACTATGTCAAAGGCAGCCGTTAGATCCAAGAACATTAAGTGTCCAGAGATTGCTACGCACTTGGGTTTGTGCTGAAGATTCTCGTATACTGAAAAAAACTGTATGTGCTTTTTTACTATATTGAACAGACAAGGCTGATGAGCAATAATGCTGACTTAAATAGAACTGAAAAATAAAATAAAATACAAATTTTGCATCAAGCATTCAGAGGCCAGAAAGGTTATTCTCATTTGACTGAATTATGAACAATAGAAAATACAAACAACGCAGACAATAATACAATTTACATAAAAAATAGATATTTAAAGAACATGGGAAAACATGGGAAATGGGAGTAGTTTTAAAAATGTATTAAAAATAATAAAATACCAACACTTGTATATAAAGAATTTACCCTGTTTTTGTGCAATTATGAAGAAAATATTTTCTCTGGCCATAACTGGATACTTGGTCTGAAAAGTGTTTGTTATATCTGAGCATTTAGAATGACATGACTCCCAGTCAAAACTCACTGTTTTACACTTTTGAGTTCTTTGGTTTTATTGTGGCATGAAGGACAAGTTCCTTTTTGACAAATAGGACAGATAGGAGCTTTAGTATGTCAGTCCACAAAAAAACAACAAAAAAGATCAAGTTCTTGTTCTTGTATTGTCTTTTTCTTCCTTTGTTTACAGTTCAAACCACACATTGTACAATATAATACAATGTACCCAATGGGTGACGTGCATTTCCCCCATTTTGTTTTCTTTTTCTGGTGAAGCTTCACAGTTACATCACAGCACCGCATACAAATCTGGCATAGTTACTACAATATTTTGTCTTGTTTTTTGCATTTCAGTGTGGATAAAAATCTTTTAAGAAACCGTGCTGCGTTTACAAAAAAAGTCTTAGAAACACCAGAAAAAATGTTTTTGAGAAAATAATTTTTCTGTGAATGCCTAAAATTGATTAAAAATAAATAAAAAATGGAGGTTATGCATTTTCCATAAAAAAAGAGTCATAAAGCTTTGCTTTTATTTTGTCCTGGTCTCTAGGTGTGTTGACCCAGGGCGGTGGTGTATTTCGCACCTTTGTGACCAGCTTCTACCTCCAGTTCAGTCAGGATGGGAGTCATTGGTACACCTACAAAGAACTTGTTTCTTCTGCTCAACCCAGAGTGAAGGTTCGGCAGCAAATATCTCAAAAACTACAAGCGACTTTCCTCTTCTTTCTGTCTAGATCTTCAAAGTGATCTGTCATTCTTTTTAATGCAGCTTTTCCTCGGTAACTACGATGATCAAGGTGTGACAGAAAGCAGACTGGACAGGATAGTTTTAGCTCAGTTTGTTCGCTTGTTGCCCCACGACTTCCAGAATGGCATCTACCTTCGACTTGAGATCATGGGTTGCGTTGATGGTTGGTAGACTGTTTTACAGATCTTCTGTTGATCCACAAGTGTGTACAAATTAAGAAAACATCCAAAACATTGCTCTTATCTGCTCTTTAGGGTATCACTGGCTATCTTCCCCCACTCCTCCCTCACCAGTCTCTCCAGTATGGGAATGCAAAGAGAAAGAGTTTCAATGTGAAAATGGTCACTGTGTACCAGCAGGCCCACTGGGAGTTGTCTGTGATGGTAAAAATGACTGCGGAGATGGATCAGATGAAACATCCTGTGGTGAGATATCCAGTCTGATATGCTAAAGCAGTTTTTTTAACGTGAACTATGACATCATGTCTGTTATTTTTATTGCCCCACACCAAATATCAAAGGTGAACATAATGGTTTTTGTTTTTACGGGCCTGGCTGTTACCAAGTTATCTAATGAAATTCTGGGAATAAAAACTAACAAAACTTGCAGTAATATTTGGATATAACTCAGATATAAATAACTTTTGACATTAGGGAGATTTAGGATGGCTGCCACAACCAAGTGACATGAAAAAAGTGATTGTCCCAGTCTGAACACCCCTATGAAAATTGTCTGACTCCACCACTACCTACATCTACAACTGGTTAACTTTTTGAGTTACCCCAAATCAAGTTTCTTGCCAAAACTAATTTAAAATTTTCAATAATAAACGTCTACAACTCACTCCGTTTTAAATATATGGAGTTAATTTTTTTATGTAATAATGAATAGTCACCCAACCAACTTTGGAGTGTTACATGTTACTATGACAGCACAATGGCTTAGTCGTTAGCATGTTGCCTCACAGCAAGAAGGTTCAATTCCTGTTTTTGACCTGGGGTCTTTCTGTGTCGAGTTTACATGTTCTTCTCATGTTTGCATGGTTTTCTTTGGGTACTCTGGTTTCCTCTCACAGTACAAGACAAACAAGCAAACAGAAAAAAAACATGCTGCCTTCAGGCCTAGGCCTCCTTCAGAGATCTGTTAATAATAATAATAATAATGGTTACACTTTACAATAAGGTACACAAAATTTGATTAACTACTAGAGAACGCCTCAGGAATGAATCAGGAGCAAATGGGGAGTTAACCAGTACTTACTGGTAAACACACAGCTAAACCTTGGTAGGGGACTACTGCTTAGTTACTTGGGAAACGAAAAATAACTAATCAGGAACTAATGGGTAATTAACATGGAAACCAAAGAGGCAAGAATCAGGAGCTAATGGGTAGTTAAGCAGTACTTACTGGGGAACTCACAGTCAAGCCTTATTAGGGGACTACTGGTTAGTTACCTTGTAAACAAAGATGAACTAATCAAGAACTAATGGGTAGTTACTAAAGAAAATAAAGCGGAATGAATCAGGATCTAATGGGTAATAAAATCAGTAATCACTAAGAAACAGCTTTTTGACAAGGATAAGCTGTGACCTCACTGGTGCAGGGTTTATTCAGAACCCACATGGGTAATTTCTCCTCTGTTTCTGTGGTAACAAACCAGTAGTCCCCGAATAAGGCTTGGCTGTGTGTTCCCCAGTAAGTACTGCTTATCTACCCATTAGCTCCTGATTCGTTCCTCTTTGGTTTTCTTGGTAACTACCCCTTAGTTCTTGATTAGTTCATCTTCGTTTACAAGGTAACTAACCAGTAGTCCCCTAATAAGGCTTGGCTGTGTGTTCCCCAGTAAGTACTGCTTATCTACCCATTAGCTCCTGATTTGTTCCTCTTTGGTTTTCTTGGTAACTACCCATTAGTTCTTGATTAGTTCCTCTTCACTTACAAGGTAACTAACCAGTAGTCCCCTAATAAGGCTTGGCTGTGTTTTCCACATTAAGTACTGGTTAACTACCCATTAGCTCCTGATTTGTTCATTAGGCTTTCCCTAGTAGTTAAGCAAATTTCGTGTATGCTATTGTAAAGTGTTACCATAATAATAATAAATAGTGTATGATATTTCACATAAAGTTATTTCCAAGGTTTGACCAAAATGTCTATAACTTCATCATTTCTTCCCTTAAGATGATTTTAGTCTAAAACTGGTGTAAAAGGCTGCAGATGATATGCATTTCTTTAAGGAGTTTTTCAGTTAAACTTTTCTCGAGCTAAGTTTTTTTCTTTTGTTTCAGACAGAATTGTATATATTTATATACATTTTTATATCTTCTGCTATTTTTATAATATTTTTCTATAATGTTATATAACGTGTTCTTTTTCAAATGAACTCCTCATATGCAGGTACCCAGGCTTATGTTACGTCCTCTAGTTTACGCAGCTGTCCAACTGGTCAGTTTTCCTGCCTCCCACCGGGGGGCTGCATTGAGATACGCAAACGTTGTGATGGTATTCGTAACTGTCCCAGAGGAGAGGATGAAAATGGATGCCACCTCCATGACGTCACGACACATTCAGATAGGTGAAATTTTCGATGCTCTTTTTTTTTTTTTTACATCAAAAGCAGGAATAGTACCATTTACCTGTTGCTTTGTTTCTTGTATAGGGCATACACACATACCCCTTCTCCTCTGAAGACTCCTTCTATGGCAGCTGTTACTCACGCAGCAGTAACACCAACAGTAAGGATATTTTATAAAACATCTGTTTGGAACTCATAATACTTTTCTTCCGGATCTAACAAATTTGTCAAAAACTGTTCTAAAATCAAATTATGTTTAAGATTATATTATACATCATAAAAATATATTTATTGGTGAAGTAGATACTGAATTTCCTTTTTTTTTTAATGTATTTGTTCAGAGTTTTAGAAAATTGTATTACTTTATTGTTAAATTCAAGCAAATGACTGAAGAGAATGTAAAAAAAAAAAAATTGTAGAGATCATTGAAGCTGTGGACCAGGAAGTGGGAAAGATTAGTAAGGGTGAAGTCCGGAAAGCTCTAAAAATAATGAAGACAGTAGGACCTGATGACATACAGTGGAGGTTTGGAAATGTCTTGGAGACATGGCAGTGAGGTTTTTGTCTCAAATATTCAATGGCATATTTGAGGGTGAGAAAATGCCTGAGGGATGGAGGAGACGTGTGCTGGTGCCCATTTTTAAGAACAAGGGTGATGTTCAGAGTTTGAGTAACTACAAGGGAATTAAGCTGATGAGTCACATGATGAAGATCTGGGAGAGAGTTGTGGTAGACTTAGGCGGATAGTACATGGAGGTAGTTGGAGTGAGGACAGAGTGAAATGGAGAAGGATGACTCGTTGTGGCAAACCCTGAAGAGGGAAAAACCGAAAGAAGAAGAAGAATGTTGAAATTTTCTAAGAACATTTTAGTAAAACAACAAATTTGTGCATGTTAGGTTTTTTTTTCAACTGTTTTGAAAAATAAACAACAAGATATATCAAAAATCTGTCCAGATGACCAGACTTAACCTTGTTAGATGTTTCTACCTGGATTATTGAGCATGCATCAGGGCACAAGAGCTAAAAGTTTCAAGTAACAGTATAGTATATGATTATTGTTGTTACTATATGTTCTAACCTGATATATTGCATTCACAGCATGGTGGCCCTGGCTATTATGGTATGTTTAAATTACGTATTTATTTAAACTTTTTAATCAATTTTCTAAGTAGATTTGACAAGTAACATGCTGCCATTGAAAATAAAAGTGTTTTTCTTTTACTGACGTTCAACAGGTATAAATGTATGTGTTTAGAAGTTTAGACTAAATTATGTGGTAACCCTTCAAATTTGCAGGCATTTGCTCGTCTCCACTTGGACTGGAGGATGGGAGAATTCATTATAGTCAATTATCTTCCTCCTCACATAGAGAGAACAACCCTGCTGATGCTGGAAGACTAAATATTATTCCTAACATGTGAGTGATTAAATTGTTTTGCATCTGTGGTGGACAGTTTCCTCAAGCCCTTCTTCCTTGTTCCATTTCTCTTATTTTCTCTTTTATCCATTATAATTCTCACATTCTTAATCAATGTCAAAGTCAAATTAACGTAATCAATGTAAAAATGCTTGCTTGAATAGGGTTTTCTCATTTGGGCATATTATCTTGTTTAAAGTGACAAATATTGAGAGCACACATAATAAACACATACCCTGTTTCATTCATGCAGTAAGGTTATGGAACCTGGTTGGAGCCCTTTGCCTGCAGATCCCCAGCCGTATCTTCAGGTGGATTTCCGGGAGCCCAAATGGATATCAGGAGTGGTGACACAAGGAAATGAGCACATGTGGGGTTATCTCACTAAATATCACGTGGCATTTTCCCTTCAAAGTGACATCTTTACAGATTTTACAGAAAATGGAAAGCCTGAAGGCCCTGCGAAGGTTTTTGCAATCCTAGATTGTAAAGTTTGTGGCAAATGGAAGTTATTTTAATGTTAATAAAAAATTAAATAAAATGTTTGGTTGTCTTTTAGGTGTTTGAAGTTCAAATGGTGGGCAGCATCCCTGTGACTCGCTGGCTGGGTTGGCTTATCAGAGCTCGCTACGTACGCATCATCCCTGTGGAGTTCAAGCACACCTTTTACCTACGTGTGGAGATTCTTGGCTGTAGAGGAGGTGAGGCATTAAAGCAACCCATGATGACCAAAACCATAAGATTGTAAGGCAAGTTAGCTCATATTCAATATTGCCTCATTCATCCATCTTCTCCATGTTACCTGAGACTGGGTCATTGTAGTAGCATCATAAACTAAGAACACCAGACTTGCCTCTTCACATCTACCTCCCTCAGCTCTTCCTGAAGGACTCCAAGGTGTTTCTCCCAGTGGGATTTGTTTGAAATATCTCCCTCAGAAGGTGTCCTTTCAGTCTGTAGGTACAGCGATGCTATTCAATATTCCTTCCAAAAACTCAAATTCCTCACCCTGTCCCTAATACTTGGTCCAAGCTCTACAGAAGAAGCTCATTTCAGCTGTTTGTATCCACACATATTATTTAAGTCATTGCCCATAGCTTATTATGACCACAGATCGACTGCCTTTTGCCTCATCTCACTTGTTACCATCCAAGATTGGAAAGCTGTCCACATCATTGCAGGTGCTATGTAAATCTACCCATTAATTTCCTGCTCTGTTCTGCCTACATTCCTGAACCAGGTCCTGGGGTTATTGAACTCCTCCACTTGGGGAAGTGGCACATGGCAATGCCTTGACTGATTATGACTTCAGACTTGGAGGAGCTGATTTTCACCCCAGCTGCTTCACTTTCAGCTGCAGTTACAAAGGCTGCTGGTGCTTGATGAGACCAACATGACCATACAATCTGCAAACAGCAGAGATGCAATTCAAAACTCACCTAACAGGAGGAACCTAAGCTCCTTGACTGCACCTAGAAATTATATATAAAGTTATGAATTAAATCAGTGGCAAAATGCAATCTTAGTATAATTCAACACCTGAATGTTGTCCTGGAAACAAATCTGACATTGCATGTAAACAGTCAGTGTAGGCTCTGTTTTTGTAATAATTGGCTGTACAATCCATTTTAACATTTCTTTTTTCTTTTTATGTGGAGATGAGCTAGTGACACCCGGCAGTGTGACTTCTCCCTCAGGATTTGGAACAGTTAGTGAGCAGCGCTGCAATGCAGGCCAGTTTTTGTGTGAACACACTAAGGAGTGCATCCCCATGTCTGTTCTTTGTGATGGTCGACCAAACTGCAAAGACCATTCTGATGAGCTCAACTGTGGTAAGACCT